CCAAATGGCTGGTAGGCGGGAGGTATCATCTCGTTTATTCATGCTGTGTGGGCGTTTTTCTATCTCTATGGCTTCTCTTATTATTCTGTTGTTGAAGTGTTCAGTTTTGGCAATAGTTCTGGTATTTTTAAAGTCAATCTCATGTCCTGTGGCTTTGAAGTGTTGGACCAGGGAAGAGGTCGGTTCTTCTTTTTTGATTGAGTTCTTGTGTTCTTCGATGCGTGCACTTATTCTTCTGTTAGTTTGTCCGATGTATGTGGTGGGGCAGGCGATGCAAGGGATTTCGTATACTCCTTGGTTTTCTAACTCGATTTTGTCTTTAGGGTTTCTTAGGATGGTGGATATTTTTCTGTTTGTGCAGAATGCTGTTTTAATGTTGTGTTTTTGGAGGATCTTGCTGATTTTGTCTGTAGTGCCTTTTATATATGGGAGGAGGGCTTTGCCGTTCTCTTGTTCTCTGTCTTGGATTTTGGTTGGGGTTTCTTTTTGGATTAGGTGGGTAATCTTCTTTGGAATCCACTGGCTGTTAGTACGTTAGTGAGAGTGTGTAGTTCGGTTTTTAGGTGTTGTTCGTCGGCTAAGCATTTTGTTCTGGAGATGAGTGTCTCGGCTACAGAATTGATCTGTGCTGGGTGGTGGTGTGAGAGTGCATGTAGATAGTGGTTTGTATGTGTTTTCACACACATACAAACACATGTGAAAACACATACAAACAGAGTCAGCATCCCTAGAACACCCCAAAAAGCCCCCTTTCCCAAGACCTAATGCACTTCAAGCAAGAGTTGAGCAATTTCTTTCCATCATGTCTCCTGTGTAGAGTCCACATGGCAAAATGAGCAGAGCATATGGTAAGACCCCCATTCATATCTATTCAGTCATGAAGCTGATGGGAAAACTGTAACTCTGCTGCAATGGATAGGTAAAATTTGGTCTAACTTGTTTTATGAACAGAACTTCCCAAAATTGTACTTTTCCAAGAAAGAAAGAAAAGAATAGAGCTGTCGACATGAGATGGCCAGGGTAAAGTGGTATGGTGAAGACAGGTAAGGCTTCCAGAAACAAAACAAACATCAACGTCACCTCTTGAAGTTATAGAAAAATGGTGGCTGTTTGGCTACAAGAAGAAGAAATATCAGAAACAAAATGACAGGCTCGTGAGTTTTCTTGCCCATAGGAACTATCTGCCATGCAGCCCTAGAGGCAGGGCTGCATAACCCTCTTTGAAGCTTCTCTTCTAAAGAGGAGCTGAGCTAATAATTAATGGACTCAACTTAGAAACTTATCTGGTCTATCCCATTCCATGGGCTGCAGCCCTCATGTCAGGCTGGGGGTCTTGTGCGTGGAAGAGTCTGAGTTAAGGAAAGAAATATGGTGTGTACAGATTTATGTCCAGCTGGATTCAGTATCTTCAGAATTGGGACAGGGCCTAAATTGAATTTGTCATTTCCTTCCACATGTCGTTTCTCACTATACAGTCTTTATGACTTCAATGTTAGCTATGACTACCCCGCCCTGCTTTACGAAAGATTTTTGATAAACAGATTAAGATATCACAAAAGCATAACAAATTCTTTCACATTTGAATAATAGAAAGCTGGGGGACATCACAGGGATTTCTGGTTCATCACCATGCCTGTTAAATTAATACTCAATCTTATATTTATTATTTAGCAAGGGAAGATAAAGCCATGGAAGGGATAAACTTGATAAAGAAACATTTAATTACATACCTTCGGGAATGCATTGTCCAAGAACAAACTTATAACCTTTACAGCACTTTTTTCTGGAAGACAAAAAAAAAAAAAGGTTGGTGATGAAATCAGTAAATTAAGAATCCTATTCTTCACATAAAACAATAGGACTGGAAAGTGTCATTAAAATTCCTCAACATTAGGAAGTTAAATCTACTATTCTATGTTTTTCAATCTTGATACGAAGTACAAATCATAGCTTTTTTCATGTATATAAATATCCTTCATGTACAGATAGTCCTCAACTTATGACCATAACTGAGCCTAAAATTTATGTTGCTAAGTGAGTTTGTTAAGTGAGTTTTGTCCCATTTTACAACCTTTCTTACCACCATTGTTAAATAAGTCATTGCTATTGTTAAGTGAGTAATAGGATTATTAAGTGAATCTGACTTTCTCATTGAGTTTGCTTGTCATAAGGTGTTCTGACCCACACCCTTTTCCAACAAATCAAACACAATCTATATAGAACAGAAACCTTGTAATGCTTTTGCAAAATAATTAGCTGTGATAAGCACAAGCCTTGCCAAACTGTGCAAGACTTGTCAAAAGATAACAGACAAGAAATAATTTGCAATACAAAAATCTTCAAATACAAACTCAGGATACTGGAATGTCCACAAGGCTGGAGTTTCAAAATATCTTTGCCTTCTGCAAAATACATTCGTTCACAGCTGGCTTTTATCTTCTTGGCCATTACCTTGCAGACTTACTCCCGAGCCGCCAGTGCTGTTGTAACTGCTCTTTCCTCCGAGCAATCCTGCGTGCACGCGCACTGGGCACAGGCTCCTCGGAAACCTCCTCATCGCTGCTGCCAGCCCCCACAATCTCTGAAGGCAGCAATCCACTCCCTAATGGTCCTGGCCCCTCATCTGAGTCCTCGCTCTCCTCAGCCGTCCACACCTGCTGCCGGCTAACCACAACATAAGGCCACAAAAGCTGTTCACATAACCCCAGGGCACTGCAACCGTCATAAATATGAATCAGTCGCCAAGCATCCGAATTTTGATCATATGACTGTGGGAATGCTGTAATGGTCACAAGTGTGAAAAATGTTCATATGTCACTTTTTTCAGTGCCGTTGTAACTTCAAACAGTAAATCAAGGACTACCTGCAATATTTTTCTACCAAAAGTTAAGACAATTACTGCCCACCAATTTAATAAAATGACATTAAAATTATAATTGACTATGTTATGCTTTTGACGTTTCTCAATCAATATTATTGCTGAGACTGAGAGAAAAGTCAGTTATGGGAAGAAAATAAGGGATTGTATGCAACATGCTGAAGGGTAAACTTGCTTTTAATTAAATCTTTCCTTAAACATGTGCACCATCATCTCTAATAGTTATAATAGGTAAACAAGCTTGGATACCAGCCATATATTATCCCATAATATAAAAGTAGTTAAAAACAAAACACAGTATATGGGAATGAGCCTACTGTCCTCTAAACCCAATCATTATATGGCACTATAATCACAAATTATTAGAGTCAAGGTTAATTATTATCATTATTTACTATCATAATAATAATAATAATAGAGATTCTACTTTAGTATAGACTACTACAATAATAGAATTGGTAAATTAGTGTGCATTCCATTAATCACTATATGAACTGTTGAAAAGCATAATTAGAGCCTCCCTCCCCAATTTTCTATTCTCTTTAACTTCAGTTCCCTGATCCTCTTCATTGTCCTTTAAATCATTTCTACCTGATCTACTTAAAATATGGTGACCAGAACTGCAACACAAACTGGAAGTATTTTCATTATTGGAAAGTTATGACCTAGACTAAAATTTCATTTGCTCTTTTTGCAGTTACATTATATTACTGACTCCTAGCTTATAATCGGTTGTAACTCCAAAATCACTTTCAGATGTACTATTGTGCTAAGAGTTAGGTATAGCTTATCTTTGACTGATGCATTTGATTTATTTTACCTAAATGAATAACTGCATTTATCCCTGTTCATTCATTTATCCCTGGCATTCCTTGGCCATTAAAAAAAAACATGAGATTACTTTGAATATTATTTATGTCTTCCAAGGCATCAGCATGTATTTATTTGTAAAACTTACACAGTCACCCATCTTATATTCCACAATCTTCTTATATTCCATAACCTTGGGCAGCTCTCAGCAGTATCAGTAAAACACAAACAGATAAAACAATGCTATACAACATCAACAGTGGACTATTCCCAACAAGCACTGTTTTCTATCAATATAGTAAGCGTTTCCCATTTGTTTCTTTCTGATTGCATAAAAATGAATACAAATTACGATGAACACATGGCTAAAAACTGCAGATCTTCTATCACCCACTCATTCTCTTTTTTTCTCCTGTTTTCTGGTGTTATGATTAATGAGCATTATTTGAATGTGTTTTTCTGCAGATTTTTTAAAATATATTTATTATACAGTATTTCTATGCTGTCTATTTTGCTATCCAAAGATTATAGAAGGAACAGATCAGACCAGCCCTTGCTTATCAATGGAGACTGAGTGGAGCAAGTGGCCAGTTTTAAGTTTCTGGGTATTACCATAAAAGAGGACCTGACCTGGGGTGCTCACATTGCAGCCCAGGTCAAAAGGGCCCAGCAGAGATTATACTACCTGAGACTTCTCAGAAAACAACAACTGAATGAAAAACTGCTGGTGACCTTCTACTGCTGCACCATAGAGAGTATCTTAACTTACTGCACCTCTGTATGGCTTGCCAATTGCACAGTGGCAGATAGGACAGCACTCCAGAGGGTTAACGTCATTGCCCAGAAGATCGTTGGTTGCCCTCTCCCCTCTTTGGAAGAGCTTTATAGCTCCCGCTGCCTTAAGAAAGTCCAAAACATTCTCAAAGATCCATCTCATCCTGGTCACCTTTTTTTTGAACTATTACCATCTGACAGATGGTACAGGATAATAAAAACAAGGACAAATAGGCTGAAAAATAGCTTCTATCCCAGGGCAGTAACTCTTTTGAATTCTGCTGTATAGTGCAGTGTTGTTGCGGTGTCGGGGGTTTCCGGTTCAATGTGTGAAGGATGTGTGTTTGTGTTTATTTTCATGGTCATGGTCATGATATGCACTGAAGATGGAGTTTGATTTCATTGTAAGAGGTGCAATGACAATAAAGTAAACTACACTAAACAAAGCAACTCAAAGAGTCAGGTTTAACTAGCATAATTTTAACAATCACGGACCTTTTCATAGGTGAATAGCAATGATCCGTTACTGAATGCTCCCTGGGATAAAACTCTAGTGCAAATCAACACATCAACAGTATGGTGGGAAGCAGTGCTAGCCACAAAAGGAGTTACGGAAAGGTGTGGCCACACTGAGGAAAAGGGAGAGAGATCCTGTGGTTACCGCTGGAGCTAACAGAATGAATAACTCTGGAAACAGCCTGCTACTATTATTTTACTTTCTGACCCTAAGAAAAGTATGTTTCTTAAATGGAGCATTAAAACTATGAATCCTGGCAGAAAAAGAAGGGTATACACACCATTGGTACTAAGAAAGAATGCCTGAAAATGTTCATGTATTTCCTCTTAATGATTGTGAGCTGCTAGATTTATGGCATTTACAGTATAAATGTATACCTCATATAGCAAGCAGTTGTATTGGAAGTGCAATTGTCAAAAGGCCTAGGAGGATAATCTATCTGCCATTGCCTGGCCTAGAGATGCGGTATTACATGATATGTTAAGCCAGATCAGTGAAATTGTCAGCTTTTTAACTGAAGTCAAGATTTCAAGCAGGAATTTGTTAAGATTTGGAGCAGCAGTTCTTTTACACAGGAAGTTCTCAACCTATGACCACAATTGCGCCCAAAATTCATGTTGATGCGAGACATTTTTTAAGTGAGTTTTGCCCCATTTTATGACATTTCTAGCCATGGTTGTCAAGTGAATCATTGCAGTTGTTAAGTTAGTAAAGAGTTGTTAAGTGAATCTGCCTTTTCCGATGAGTTGGCTTGTCAGAAGTTCACAAAAACTGTTCACATGAAATTCAGGACGCCACAACTGTCATGAATATGAACCTGTCACATTTGAATTTTGATCACATGACCATGGGAAGGCTGCAATGGTCGTAAGTATGAAAAATGGTCATAAGCCACTTTTTCAGTGTCGTTATAACTTCCACAGACTGGGGGGAGGTGTGGTTTTGCGTGCTGCCTGCATCCCACGAATGGGACTTCGCTTGTTTGTGCGGCCCGGTTTCTGGCATGCCGCAGCCCAGTACCGGTCGACAGACCAGGGCATAAATGAACTGCTGTAAGTCTAGGACTAGCTGTATAGGAAGACCATTTATGCCAGGGGTCCCAATCCCTGATCCAGCAACTGGGCCACACAAGCAAGTGAAGCCCCATCTGTGGGGTGCAGGCAGGACGCAAACCCCCCCCCCCCCCCCCCCCCGGAAAAACCTCCCTCCATGGAACCGGTCTCTGGTGCCCAAAAGGTTGAAGGCCTCTGAGTTATGCTACTTATACAAGACTAACTTGCATAGTCACTATTGGTTCCAACGTTAATAATATTAGTTAAAATGCCCCATTAGGCTTCCCTGGTCGACTTCGACTCTTACATCTTAGTTGGGCAAGAAACAGCAGTGCTTGGATCACCCGTTCTTTTAATTTTACATACAAGTAATCTTCAACTTTTGACCAGGGGTGGGCTTCAAAAATTCTAGCAACTGGTTCTCTGCCCGGTTGCTTGGTGGGCATGGCCATGGTAGGCGTGGCCTAGTCAGCCTCCTGCACCATGGCAGGGGAGATGTTTTCTCCATCCCTGGGCTCTGGAGGCCCTCTGAAGGCTGGAAAGGGGCCCATTTCTGGCCTTCTGGAGCCTCTGAGAGGCCCGTTTTTCGCCCTCCCTGAGCCTCCGTGCGGGCCTTGGCATCCAAAATGGGTCGCGTGGGGAGTCCTGGGAGGGGAGGGATGGGGTGGATGGGGCCAGTCAGGGGTGGGATTTGCCAGTTCACCAAACAGGCCATAAAATTCGTCCCAGTTCAGTAGCAGCCCAACCCTGCT